CAAGTAAATCAAAACTTGGGCGTACTGCCTGCCCTTTACATGGCTTTGACAGGGGGTTTAGAAACAAGGAAAGCAGACAAGAAAGTTTCAGGTGTTCACATGTCTTAGACCTCATGCCTAAACCTACTTATTTTCACAAGTCTGCCACAATTTCAACATCAGTTAAGCAAATATATTATTTTCTTTCCATCAGACATCATTTAGTTCTAGGTTCCTACAGTTGTGTCTATTTTTCCTCGGAACTTTTCAGAAAGCACTAAAGCTAAGCAGTTTTATTGTTTTTAAGCATTTGAAATGCATTGGATTTTTTTTTAGTTTAAGAACACTTTACCAGCATACAGTCTGTGCTCACTAGGAAACGTGCAATTATTTTAACACAGGCATATATCTATGTAAATCCTGACATATTTACCTTATTGGCTAACCCCATTAACCAATTAAAACTCCTAACACTGAAAAGCAGTTTTATAACAGAAAACATGTCTCGAATTAATATAACAATAAAACTGCACTATCTTTTTCCAAAGTTTCTTCAGCAGCATCTCCCAAATCGTATCATCTTCAAAGAGCAAACCACCAGCCCCCCTGCTCCCAGCATCAAACAAAACTGCACCTGGAAACTCTGTCATTTCCCTAGATGATGTGGCCTAATCAGTTCAATGCACTGAGCTCAAACTATGCCAAAGCCAGCACAGGCCCAAGAGTTGTTATCCATCCCGCTCGGAGAGGCATTAGCAAAGCTGGGTGAGGCACACGAAATGTGACTGGGAAGCACAGCTGCCGCTGCTGCCACATTCACTGTTAGTGCAACATAGTACAAACCTATTTCTGTGCTGGCCATATGCAAGCAAATTATATTTAGGAGTGTCTGTGTGAAAGTCAACTAACTCTTCAAGAGAACCACTGCGAGGTTTTATGTAACTCTTATATTGGGGGGAGGAGAAGAAGGAAATTCCATAGTAAAACTTATTTCATTTTACTATTTATTACTATTTTGGGAGGAGGGTTAAAAAAACAAACAAAAAAAAAAGATGAGATGTAAGTATTTTCAAGTCACAAGCCTGATTACAGTACTTTTCTACATTAGTTGCTACCTCCACATAGAATTATGGTCTGAATATGCATTTAAATATAAAAAAAAATACAAAGAAAGTCAGGGCTATTAAATCTACCCGAAACAAAAACTGCCAATTTTGAGTACAAAGAGTTAAGCTATTAGAAATCCTTTTATAGCAGATTACTTAAGAAGGCAAGACCCCGATACATATTTTTCCAGTTCTATAGCACCCACTGCCTTTCCTTGCCTAAGGTAATTTTTTTAGTATTTTTCACATTCCTGACAGCTCTTTTTCTATAAGAATTTCTGAGAGGAAAAAGGAAAAATATTTTCAAGAAATGGCATTCCCCATTTCATGGGGAATTGATGTGACATTCTACTGGGGAAAAAAAAAGGGGGGGGGAAGGGAGGGAAGAAAAAACACTGATAGATTATAGCAAACTTTGAAGGTTATCACAGAAGAGCAAGAACAACTTTAGTATCAGTATTAGCACCCTAATGACACAAATCCAAAGAGCATACACATCAGTGGTAAGATCAAGCATAAAATGTTTTACTTACCAGAAAAATCCCTCTTATGACATCCCTAAGAAAAAAACCCTACCTGACAGGCAGCATTTTATCCATAGCTTCTATATTAAAACTGTGACAAAAATCTGAAGTTAATGAGCTCAAACAACAAACTGCACTAATTAAGATACAGAGCCTTATCGCACACTGTGGGCAGGTGGGGGAGAATGCAAACATAAGTAATAACTAAAAAAAATCCCGTTTCAATACCAGCTTGTTAGTCTGTCTCAAGGCTTTAGATTTTATTTAATGAGTACAAACAGAAGTCAAGAAAAATATACCTACTTAACTGGAAAAAACAACAAAACAAACCCTGCGGTAAGGAAGTTAAACGAAGAAACCCAACCAGCTTGCTCATTTCCCAGGACTTACCCAACAAGAGATCCAAAGGGATCATCTCTTTCACAGCATCAAGGATTCCTCTTTGCCTTGCCTCTTGGCCATCCAGTTCTCTAGCACACGCCTTGCAGCAGCCACATACAGCGCAGCCCGACTCACCTGAGCCACAGCCGCAGATTCTGCAGCAAACAGAGTTGCTTTATCACTACCTTGATTTTCATGCATTACTGATGCCCTTGGTATTTTTAAAACATACATTATTGTTATGTTCTGTCTGTAGGCATGTAGTTCTTCCCAAGATAAATAGGAAGTATAGCTACTTTAAATCCTAGATGCAGTTGCAATAATGCCAGAGAGCATACAGTGACCAAAAACACCTTAACTGACTCCTCAGCATTAACTTCTCTTCATTTAATTATAGTACACTATGGAAAAACACAAACAAGGAAACACTGAGCATGTTCAATACTGGAGAAGAATTCTTCTCTTATAGGATGAGCAAAAGTTATCCCAAAGCCAGCAGCTTTGTCATGTGGACTACAGTACTTGGGCCATCTAGGCAAGAGGCAAACTCTATGGTCTACATTTGAAAGCTTTTAGTAAAGCAGAAAGTGTATCCTAAACGAGTGTAAATACATTTGAAAGTAATTATCTGCAGTCTTATCAAGTTGTCTTTGAAAATTTTAACCTGTTTCTGATTTTAAGAGCATGTACAATTTACGTAAACTTCAGTCTAAAATTGCTCACAGTACACAGCAATTGGGTGCACATTCATTCAACATGCTACAGCCAGTGCATTTCCTTACCCTCCAGGCACTCTGTCAGGCCTCCCGCTGCTGACACAGCTAGCTCCATAGCCCGTGCAGTCTCCACAAACAGTGCACACCATGCACTGCTCCAGCTTCCACTTGTGCATGCCTGGGGGACACATCATGGACTTCTCATCTTTTTCATCCAGTTCCTCCTCTAGGTCTTCATCCATTGCTGTTGCCATGTTCTCAACTCCAAAACCTAGTAGGATATTGAAACAGCAAAAACTAGCAGTTTTCCAAGGCCAACAGTGACTACTGAAGAACAGTTAGATGATCTTAAGACACTTAGGCTTTGCACCTAAAAGAGCAGTTATACCTTTATATCCAATATACCCATAACAGATCCACTACCCAGCATATATAAAACATTCCAGGCCTGCAAAGGTGTAGCAGGCAGATTCTCACACTACAATTTAGAAGTAAGGGAAAGTCAGTTGCACGCAGGAAGAAACAGAGATACATTCACACATTCATGCCCTGAAACCGGGCAGCCTCAACATTAAGGCCAAAAAAGGCAGAAATGCGTAAGAAAACGGCAACTCCACAGTAATATAATTTCAGTGACGAGGTTGGGTTTGTTCATTCGTTTTAAATAAAAACCCTCTTTCACAGATAAAACAAAAGCAACTGCGTTATTTTTTACATAACTGTACATTACTATGTACAGAGAAC